CAACATCTGAGGCAAAGAATAATTTCAGGGAGAAGTTGAAGCCTAGGAAACCACAATGGAAACCATGACAAAGTTGAAGACTAGGGTTTAGGTTGAAATAGACAATATTTTTTGTTTAAGATAAATTGATGATATATGTAGTAATTTCCTTTTATGACAGTGTTGTGTATGACTATTTGAAGTATTACTTATCAAACATTATTGGAGTTTATGTGAAATCAGAATTTTAACTCATGTTATAATTGCATACTTAATTTTTGTTGCCTTTAACTTAAATTAACAATTAATTGCATCTAATCAAGAAGTGGTTTGCATCTGATCAAGAAGTGATTTGCATCTTGGCTCACTCAAAATTGATTTGGCAATGGGTAGAGGTAGAGAAAAAGGGAAGAAGCAATATGTTATTGCTAAGGATCACAGTCTGATTAAGATGAAAATGTACATACAAATGACCACTAGAATCACGCCCGTGATTCCAGATCAAGACCGTGATTCTCACATCTTGGAAAACCAACCAAAACAATTGATGTAGAGGGCTGCGAGAATCACGCATGTGATTCTAGATCACACCCGTGATTCTCACGGCCTGGGAACCAACCAAAAAATTGATGTAAAGGGCCACGAGAATCACGACCGTAATTCCATATCACGATCGTGATTCTCACATCCAGGAAAACCAACCAAAAAATTCATGTAAAGGGTCGTGAGAATCACGCCCGTGATTTCAGATCATGCCTGTGAGTCTCACGACCTAGGAACCAACCAAATAATTCATGCAGAGGGCACGAGAATTGCGCCCGTGATTCTAGATCACACCCGTGATTCTCGTGTCCTGGAAACGAACCAAAAGTTGACAAGTGGATCATGGGAATCATGCCCGTGATTTTAAATCACGATCTTGAATCTCTTGGCTTACCTGACAGCCATTATATCTTATGATGGGACGCGAGAATCACGGGTGTGATTCTAAATCACGACTGTGAATTGTGCAAGGCACAAAAAACCCTAGGTACCTCCTATAAATACAGACCCTGTGATTTTTAAACTTCACTCTCCCCCCTTGTAACCTCTTCTCACGTCATCTTCTATCCAAACCCTAACCCACTAAACTCAAACCCTTGTAATGGCCCCAAAGCGAACCTATACATCTCATGGGTCCTTTTATGCCAATCTCGCACCTGAGTTCGAAGACATGGAAGTACCTGCTTTTCTGCCTCTATTGTTTAGAGATGATGAGCAACGAGATAGGTATCAGACTCTTAGTACCCGTTCAATAACCGCAACAAGGTATCTTGATTTTCAATTTTTGCGCCAATTAGGGTTATGTTCTGACATCAATTTTATGCTGACAAACATTGGTTAGAGTAATTTTGCAACCATCCATTTGGAAAAGGTTTATCCAAGGATTGTTCTTGAGTTTCTTAGTTATCTCCACACTGAAATTTTGAGTGGGGCAAATTGTGAACCAAGATTGATTTCCTTTAGACTTTTTAATATAGAGCATCGTCTCAATTTGGAGGAATTCAATTACATCTTTGGATTTCAAACCGGAGGGCAAATAAGAAACCCAAGATCATTTAATCCATACATGTTTTGGGGGGGGCTGTAACATGTCATACACAATGGCAGGCTGGTAAATGCAATTCGTCTACATTTCATCTCCCTGCCATTAGAATTATGCACAGGTTTATTGCATCTACTATTCTAGGTCGTGGTGACTTAGAGGGTAAAGTACGCCTAACTAATTTATTGTTTATATGGGCAATGATGAAAAATAAGGATGAAAAGATCAACTCTGGTGCTTATTTGGTTAGACAACTGCAAAACATTTCAAACACTGGATTTGGTAATATTGTCAATAGGGGATTAATAACTTCAATTGCTAAACATTTGGGTTATACCCCATTTCTGGACCAATTGCAGGATATAGGAGCTCCTAGAAGTATTAATTTTAATACTTGTTATGTAATGTAGTGTATCACTAGGAATAATGATGACAAATTTTATTTCTTTTTAGCCAAACTGGAGCGAACCACTTACTACCAAACCGACACTATATAATCAAGGATGAAACTACGTACATGACGTTTTCCCTTAGAGTCATTGACTGATGTACCCCAACAACAATAACCTATTCTTAAGGAGGTACAACCTGAAGTAGAGGAAGATGAGACACAAGACCAAGATTTCACCACACAATCGCATCTACAGGTAGACAATGCTGATATCTTGTCAATAGGGGTGGGTAGATGGCCTCAGGTCCGCATACTGGTTCGTAAGCCCGCAAATTTTGCGAATAAGGGACCCATTTTTTTCTAATTCGGATGATTATGTTTAATTTTTGAGTCTAGTCCGTGAAGTCTGCGGACTTGATGGATTTAATTCGCGGGCTCGTGCGTTAGTCCGCAGACTTCACTAATTAATATTTTTAGATATTAAGACTTTAATATTAAGTTGTGTATTTAATCTTTTAAGTCATATGACATTAAAACTATGTTTAGTTGGTATGTATTTGTCATTTGAATTACTTTTTTTTATGACATTTTAATACTTTTATTATTAAAAGTTTGGTACTATTATATAAATTATAATTATTTTTTTTAATATTTTAATATTTATTATTTTAAACCATTTTAACCGTTGATAAATTTTAGTGTGATGAAATTTAGCTTATAAATAAAAAAAATATTTTTTTCTTCTAATTTTATGTATTTTTATTTTTTAAAAATTTATTTTTTAAAACTATTATTTAGATCGTGGATCAGTATGTTATCTACGGATTTTGGCGGATCGGATACGGACTTAAAAAATAAGTCCATTTATTTTACGGAACAAATAAGTCTGATTCTATAAAATGCGAGTTTTATGGACTGAGCCTTGAACAGGTCGGACTGGTTTATATACCCACCCCTACCTGTCAGTCATTTAGTGTATGGATCATCGATTGCAAGAGATGGATGAATGTGAACAACACTATAATTATATGGTGGACAAGATGTATAATTGGCACCTGCAACATTATCTAGATGATTTCCCTCCTTAGTGATTTGTCTGAATCATATTGCTTTAGCACAACCAATTTGTGTTAAGAAGTTCTGTTTTCAGTCTTTGAACTTTGTTAGTATATGTATTTAACTTTTTTATCTTCTCAGACTATATGTATTCAAGTCTTTGAACATTTAGCGCTTAATATATATATTTCTATGATTATTGGTTTGGTTCCACGTTGCTGCACAGATAATAGTTTTACTCTTGTACTGTTGAAATCTAACACTTAAATTTAAACATCAGTCAATGCTTCAATACTATCATTACTAATTGTTCATAATTACATTATGATTAAAGAAACATTATAAAAATATCCGAGCACAACATCCTCAAACTTGTCATTACATAGATAACACCATATTTACCTACTTCAAATAAAACACCCTTTCAAATTGAACCAAATTGTTACAAATTACATACATTAAGACCAAACTTAACAACAATAGAAAACCAACAAGAATCATTAACAACTTCATCGACCATCTTATTGACTTCAGAGAACTCTAGAGACTATTTATCTTTTTCCTTTCTCTAACTATATCAACAAATCCCTTTCATCATTCACATATTCCTCTAAAGACCACTTGAAAAAGTTGGATCCTTACTGTTCAGATCCACAAGACTAGGAAACTAGATCCACAAACCACTTCAAATTCAAAGAAAACTCAGTTCTTTGGAACTTATGTGCGTGCACGAGATAGCTGTGCCCAACAGTTACATCTCGAATTATATTGTTGTCATTAGCTTTGGACATGTCACGATGATGGCAAAAGTTGTCCGATTTGGTGGTGAGGGAGGAGAGAGAAGGAGAGAGAAATTAGGGTTAAAATAGCAAAAATAGATAAAAGAACAAAAAAATCTCAACGGTCCATTTAAAATCTAAAATATCCAAAGGTAGAAAATGATTTCCCCACCCACGCTAGCATTTACCTTAGTTTGACACTAAAAGAGAACTCAATAAATTCATGAAATCTGCGAATAGCTTCTCCTTCCCCACCCTAGGAGACCTTCTCCCATCCCCATATTCAATATTAATTATTTTTGTTATACTAGTGCAAAAATTCTATTTTACATTGCTTTCTACGGTAGTTGTGTAAATCCATGTAAAAAAGTGATGTAGTAAAATTTAACTGATGTTAAAAATCACATTTGTTCTGCATCAGTGACATTTACATTAAGTCATCGGTCATGCAACCTATGTAAAATGTTCATTTTAATTGATGTAGAATGTTATTTATTTATTTTTTATCAATTTGTTAAATACAAATAAAACTTCATATATATAATATAAGAAAATAAATATGAATTTATAAAATGTACAATCTTTATTGATATGAGGTTTTTTTAATGATAATCGACAAAAAATAATTACATTAAAATCTAATCTTAAAGTGGACAATAACTGTCAATGCCCAACACAATTTTAATTTGTTATCGTCAATGCCCAGCTCAATTTTTTTTTGTTATTTAAAATTCTCCGTCTTGAACAATTTATTTTTACAAATCATTTTGTTTCTTATGTGAAATAAGAAAAACTATTTTGTCTATATTATTCAAAACTGTTATAACTCTATACATTTTACTCTAAAACAATCCAAATAATCTCAATTTCATTTCAACCTAGTCGCCGCCTGATGCACCTAACCGAAAAGGACCTCCGAATGTTGGACGTACGTTAACGTGACGAACTAAGCACATCCACATGACAAATTTGTGTATGGGACCAGTCCACATTTTTTATATTTAATTTCTGGTTCTAGTTCATTTCGAATTATAAGCTGAGTCGAAGAATCGAACTTTTACACTTCCTCAGGAAAGCCATAATAAAGTCAATAGGCACAAACAAAAACCAAGAGCACGAAGGCGACACAGTTTTGGCATATATAGGCAGCCTATATATACACACACATGTCACCGTGTCACAGTGTAATCATAACCCCACCTCACCAGAAAAGAGTGCAAAGAAAGGAATATTAAAAGTTAAAGAGATCAAAGTTTTCTCATCAAAGAGGAGGTAACATATGGAGGAGGCACATAAGGGGGAGCAACACAAAGAGAAAGGAGGAAAAGAAGTGAGGTACCGTGGTGTGAGAAAGAGGCCATGGGGTAAGTATGGTGCAGAAATTAGAGACCCTACAAAACCTACGGGAAGACAATGGTTAGGAACATTTGACACAGCAGAAGAAGCAGCTAGAGCTTATGATCGTGCAGCCATTGAATTGAGGGGTGGTCTTGCAATCCTTAATTTCCCTGAAGTGTACGATTCTCATCTCCCTTTTGTGTTATCAAACCCTTCTGCCACTGCCAATGGAAGTTCTTTTGCTGCACAACGCAAGGAAGTCATTGAGTTCGAGTGTTTGGATAACAAAGTGTTAGAAGATCTTCTTGAGTTAGAAGTGAAGAGAAGGAACTGAACGATTACCTTTTTTGAGCCCATTTTTTTTTCACCTTGTATTATTAATATATGAACTTGTGTTTTAATCTAGGGTTCATGTTCATCAAATTCATTTCCAAAATTCTTCATCCCCAACCCCCACTTTTTAGGGTCTTTTCACATTGATTGAATTAAACTGTGTATGGTTTTAAAATCTCATGGAACCAAATCTTACGATAATATATAGCAATATAGCATCTTCCTAATAAATATTTAAAGTGATATCGTGGTGCCTTCCTGAGGAAATGGATGACCAAGTTTTTGTTTTGTATCTCAACCACTATAATTGCATTCTGAAATTTGTTTTTGACAGTTCAGAGGTTGGGTATTTGGAAAATTTGTTTCCTCAATGTCGTTAATGAAGATTCAATTTAGATGATAGATACTTGAAGTCACACAATTCAAGTGTGAAAATTGTATGTAGGTGAGGTTACGTTCATTCGGATTCTTTATACAGATCATGGAACGCTATTTCAGTAAGTATGTGCTCTATGTAGTGTTTCTCATTTCTCAACTTTATTTATGCTAACTTTATTTTCATGTTTGGATTGGGATAAGTTCTGTAATAGTGTAATTACTATATATTTGCATGATATATATAATTGCTGCTTGGTGGTGAATGATTCACGGTATTGTTGAACAGCATTGGTTCAACACTATAACCCCTTTGAAAGCTTGTCATTATATAGCCTTAGCATGAATTTTGTCCATCAAATCATCAATCTCTTGGTAACCTTTTAGTTGACTACCTTTCTTACATGTCTCATAATTTTTTTGAAGTAAATCGAGTTAAGTTAATGTTTTGATAGTGTGCATAGCATTAAACTGCTTTAACTTGAGTTATTAAAATTGATGATTTAATTATTCTTTCCCAGACACCGAAATTATTTCCTTTTTAAAGCTATCTTCAAATTGGAAAATTTTGACCGATGATGAAAAATAACGAGATGTTGCAAAAGAAAACCGTTGGCAATCTTAAGGCTAGTGGCTTCATTACATTGCTTTTACTATTTTTCTTTTAGTTAATTGGCCTTTAATTATAATCTAATAGGTATATGTTAGACTTTTTCCGTCTTAAATTTCAACTGATCGGTTAATTTAGTATGATCAAAACGGAGAAAATGTACAATCTCATATTTTTCTTCAGGGAGGGCCTGCATAATAACTATGTGATTTCTTTTAGAGATTTGAAAATAATCATTTCTATGTGTGCATGTGTGTTTATTATGTTAATTCGAATGACCAAGAGTGTTGGATTATGGATTTATAGTATGCCTAAGATCCACAATGGGGGAAATTAGGTTTAGTGATACTATATGATTCAAACCTTAAGAAAGTGAGTTGGAAGTTTAACTCAATTTTACGAAATTGACTTGTAAAGTGAGAATTATTTTTATTAATATATACTTTGTTGAATTAGAACTTGTAAAATGAGAATTACTCTCCACTTATATATATACACTTTATTGGATTAAAATTTATTTATTAAAAATTATTTCTCACTTATATACACTTTGTTGGCCTTATCATTAATGTGAGATCTTCAACACACTCATCATGCTGAGGATTAAACATCTGTGAATGATTAGATAATAACTCAATAATGAGTAATCTAATAAATCCAATAACAAAAATCGTTAAGATAAACTATGACACCATCTTAAGAAAGTAAGTTAAGAAGTCAACTCAACATTGTAAAATCAATTTGTAAAATGAGATTTATTCTCAACTTATATACATTTTTTTTTGTTTTATTATTAGTTAATGTAAGATCATCAACACTAAATGTCTATGTTTCTCACTGAGGATTCAGTCATAGAGAGAAAGTATAAGAGTAGAAAATCGTGGAGTACTATAAGAGTAGAAAATTGTGTTTCTTGTTATTTATGTATACATGCTTTCACAAATTCATTAGATCACATTTTCAAAAGGTGTCATTGAACATGCATTTTTTTTCTTCAATTTTCTTCTTGTTCTAAATATCCAAGCATGGAATCATTTTTTTTATACATATTATATCTACTTATTGTACCTCAACTATAAAAGAAGTACTTGAGTAAATTAAATCGATATTCCAAGATGTTTCATCAAATTTCATCCCACATTCTTCCTTTATCTATCTTTATACTAACTTCTTTTATTATTAAAAAAAATTATATTAATGCCCCTTAGTAATTTCAAAAACATTACATTGTGCATTCTTATAAGAAAATTGCTATAAATATTTAAAAAAAAGGAGATTAATTATGTGTGATCTCAAACAACTTCAAGATATACCCAATGTAATTTACTACTCTTTTATTTTGAGCAATGCTATATTACACCAAGAATCCTGCACGAAATTACAAGAATTTCAACTTAACCAATCAAAATATGTATGACAATTTAAAAGAGAGAAAATAAAGTGTTGTTCTTCAATAAAATAACAACACACAACTATTCGTAACTTTCGTACTAAAAAGCTTTCCTACTATATTTAAATTTTCTTTATTTGTTTTTTCTTTTAATGGCAGTTATAGTGGTTGGACACACTTTAGTTAGTTTTTTTTTTTTTTTCTTTTGACAGAGGACACACTTTAGTTTTAGTAGTCGCCATGTCGGACGTCGGTCTTCATATATATTAGCTACTGCTTAAATAAATGGAACCTTATTTTCATGCATCTTTAAAATTATTAAACCAAATGATATATTTTTGCGTTATTTGTTTTGGGGATATATAGTTCCTGTTTGTGAAATGTTGTTTATTTTCATTTTAATTTAGCATGTTGATATTTACTAGGATAGTTCCTCCTAAAAATTGATCGTCATTAGCAAGTCCTCCATTCTTTCCATTTGATGTCATTATTAGGATAAAATTCCGTTGTCTCTTCTTTAAACGTTTATTATAATGCAATGAATATATTAAATTCTACCAAAAAAAAGTTACAACCTTTAATTTTACTTTTGCTATCTATCTTTTTTGCCAAGTTGTGTAATAGATTAGTCCAGTGAATTACCTCAACCACTGTATTCTATATATCTACAAACTTCTGTAGGCTTAATTTGTACGAACAGCATATATATAGAACCAGTTTATATTTTAGGTGTCCCCCCCATATAATAGCATTCTATTTGTCTCTATGAAGATGGAATTTTTAATTTATAGAGAGATAAGCTAGGACTCTTGCAAGTCTGTGAGGACCATATGTTTATTAATTTTGTCCCAACCTCTGTTCAGTTTTATTAGGAGAGTAAATAATTAGTTAGTTATTAACAAGTTCTTTTTCTAATAGAGCACTATTATATGTCATCCATATCATATATAAATTAAATCAATATAATCTACTCCATTTAATTTTGAGTTCCTTCTTTTTATTTATTTTTTCCATTTTTATATATTTTTTAAAATAAAGCTTCGAAGCTTAGTTTCCTTTTCATCCTCTTTATCTTTTGTTTACCAACATAATATATCGGAGCGATATTCCGTGTTCCATCAGCAAGATGGAAGCATTCTAACAGAAACTTCAGAAAATTACTAACTAATTCCTAAATAATTATAAAAAGTTCTCTAATAGAAATAAGAACATAGGAAATAAAGTTATTCTATGAAAAAAATATAATTCAGAATATAAAAAAACTATATTATAGAAGAAAAATTGGAATTTTCTTAATTTTATATTATAATATATATGTTGTTATCCGTTAAACTATTTCAAAATGTTAATTTTAGTTCTTTTAAAAATTCAATACGTTTTTTCATTTCTCAAAAGTGATGTGATTTTTAGTTATTTATTAATAACTAAAAACATGTATTTCCAAGTAAATGTAAGTACTTAAAAATGTAAATTTTTTTATTGAAACTAAAATAAACATTTCAAAATATTTTACGGAATAAAGATAAATTTAAACTTATTTTATAACTTATATAAGCAAAAAATTACTATTAATTCTAAATGAAAAAAATTGATTTCATTATTAAAATCATTAGAAACTTAAAATTATCTTTAAGAAAGTAACTAGTTTATTTTATTCCTAAAAAAGTCAACCAATTAAGATTATAATCTAATTAGTAAGTTGTTCTAGAACTATAATTTTTCATTTGAATTAAATAGGACAAAGGATAACACGAGGAGAATGGGCTGCATGGTTAGCTTTTTGGAGAAGGAATAATAAATTAAAGATACTATCCAGTACTGTATCCATAATGAATAGGGAAGGTATTATTAAATGGAATTAAGTAACGTAAACAAGCTGACTCAATGTCCACGTTGCTCATCCTCTTTCCACCAATATAATAATTTAAGTGTCATAATTAAGGGTGTAATAGCCATGGTATAAGCAACACTAACCAAAGTTAAAATCTTTTTACCATGATTACTTTTCCAAACTAATTAAGCTACCTTTTTCTTATAAACAGGTAATTCTAGAAACTGTATTTATTTATTTATTTTCACAAAGACCACTTAACCATCTTAATTACAAGTGAAATTAAAGAGAAAAAGAAAGAAGGACTTTGACTAGTGATCACATTATATCGAAATCAAGAAACTAGCAGAAACTTATACAGGACTCCAAACAAAAACTAAGGTAGGAAAAAAACTTGTATTATTATTATTATTATTAAGAAGATCTACCATAAGTTATTAGAAGTTTAAGTTAACCATTTTATTTTGAAGGGAGAGTAGTAGCGTATGTTTCGAGGCAACTTAAGACTCATGAGAGGAATTATCCTACTCATGGTTTGGAGCTTGCAGTTGTGATGTTTGCCTTGAAGTCGTGGAGGCACTATCTGTATGGTGCGAGATTCAGTGTATTTAGTGATCACAAGAGTTTAAAGTACCTGTTTGATCAGAAGGAGTTGAATATGAGGCAGAGAAGGTGGATGGAATTCCTAAATGACTTTGATTTCTAGTTGATGTATCATCTTGGGAAGGCAAGTGTGGTAGCAGATGTATTGAGTATGAAATTCATTCACGTGTCGGTTATGATGATTAGGGAGTTGGAACTAATTGATCAGTTTAGAGATTTGAGACTAGAGGTGGAGGTTGTTCAAAATCACATTAGTTGTGGTATGATCACCATAACTAATGAGTTCTTGAGACAGGTGGGAACTAAGCAATTACAGTTGTTGAGGATTTTGGGATTGTATGGTACCTGAGAAGGCAGATGGTTTTGAGCTTAGTGTTGATGGAGATTCCCGAGTGGAAGTGTGATAGTGTCACTATGGGCTTTGTGGTTGGGTTGCCTAGGAAAACTAGGAACAGTGACTCTATCTGGGTGATTGTTGA